GGAATTATATCGTATCGACCGAAATTAAGAAATATATCGTGATATAAATTTTGGCCATATCGTCCAGCCCTACTCCCAACCATGTATGGCAATATTCCTCAAAAGTAGTGATTAAATTCTTAAGGCGTGATTTGTTTAAGATGCAATCTAACCAAGACAAGCATGAAATATATTCAGAGCAACAATAACAAAACACAGTCGATGTTTACTGAGTTGCATTATTTCAGCCAGAACCTTGTGGAGCACTTTTTTCTGTTTACTGAGAAAACAATCATCGTTTCCTACCTAAAAAAAAACTTTACTTTGTATGTTTGTACTCATTAAAGAAAAACAACATGATTTATTAAAATCTATGCAATTAAACCTTTTTGGCATTTCAGCTCAAAATACTTTACTATAAATACTAGGCCTATATGTACTATCCATATTCCCTAAAATTTTATATTATTTCTGAATACTATATAATATTAAGAGACACTAAATACATTTTAGTTTAAAATACTATATATAACTAAAAACGTATCATACAATAGTATAATATTTCTAAATGCTATATAGGATACTAATACAATATTTAAAATGGGTCTTTTTTTGTATTTTGCTTGTACTGAGAAAACAAAGTCACAAAGTTTAATTAAATCTGTTCTAGTGTAAGAAGTACAATCATGGCAAACAGAGCCATGCATGTGTGTGATGAGGGTATAAGGCCTGCGAGTTTGCATGCTCTGAAATGTGTGTTCGGCCATTTTAAAACAGCACCACCAACTTCTACCAGTGGAGGAAAAAATATAGCCGATGTGTGAACTCAAGCAGCATGACATGAACGTTTATTTAGATTAACTCATTCAATCAGAAAAGCACTAACATTTTGTGCTAAAAAAAACTCAAACAGGCTTTGCGTGAAAATATGATTGCGTTAAATCAAAGTTGTCAAAATAAGGAGTGAAAAACTTTGACCTTGTTGGACAGCTCCAAACACGACCCATCTGAATCAGACGAAGAGCGAGCTACACACTACACGAAATATTAAAAGACATAACATAATAATAAAAAAAAAATCACTCCTTTTAGTTTCACTACATGGAGTTTAACGTGGATTTCACAGGATCTGGGTGATTTCAGAATAAACAAAAGCTCAAAAGACACCAAAAAAGGGATGTGATTAATTCTAAAAACGAATGTAAAGTAATTGTCCAGCATGAATAATCGTATAAGACCCCAAATTCTAGTGAATATGACAGCAAAAGTTGCGTTACGAACCTTCACCAAGATGAAAAAAACGACTTTTCCGGAAACTGCATGCATGCAACAACACTACGCACGACAACCCAACAAAGTTACACTTTTTATTCAACACAGTCGATCGAAGATCATGGTGAGGATTTTATGTTTAATTTCTCATCAATTTTATGCACTTTTTATTTCGTCAGCGTGTGTGTTAGCCGTGGTCCTGATCTGATGTCTCTCCGTGCTGAAATCAGCCCTGGACAGCGCCTCTCCCTTTCAATGCAACCCTCCATTTTCACCCCACTGAAAAACTTAGTTGAGCTCGTACGCGACACAAAACAACACAAAACCACACCCTAATCAGCTCCAAACCCCACGCAACCAAACCCATGAACTCACCAGCGGTGTTCGCTCGTTGTTTGGCGATGTCGTTGCAGAAACAAGTTTCGGAAGAAGTTATTTCCAAACTCTCAAATCGGTCAAGGAAGTACGCGAGACTCACGCATTCCAACACATAGCGCTCGCGCAGCCAGCCCTCGCTGGGGAGGCGTGACGTCAGCACGCACGCTCATGTTCTCGCGCTCTCAAAGTTTACTCTTGTGTGTTTTGTTTTAGTGTGTAGAGAGTGACGCAGTCTGATAAAAACAAATACACGAAAATATCCCGACGATATTTTGAATGGGCGCTGTTAGTTTAGTAGTAGCCAGTTTTGTATAAGTCGTTCTGATTGTTTTGGGTTTGTTAACTCCTAAAGCTACACGTGGCAAACAGGCAACAGTACTGTTAAGCTGTGTTAAGGAATATTTTTTACAGCGAGATATTGGGCAGCTGAATTTAGAGGATCAAAAAAAGTGCTAGGCAAACAATTAGTGAAGATGGTGCGGAACAGTGTTGGGGAAAGTTACTTTTAAAAGTAATGCATTACAATATTGCGTTACTCAATAAAAAAGTAAATAATTACGGTACTTAGTTACTTTTTATGGAAAGTAATGTGTTACATTACTTTTGCGTTACTTTTTAAATCTGGACAGGGCTTGATTGTTTGTTTTTAAAATAAAAAAGTTATATTTTTGGCAAATATAAAAGCCTTTTCACACCAAAAGTGAAATGAATAAGCCTCAGGCTGAAGGGAAAGTAAATTTACGTCCATACAGTAGAATGCAGAAGAAGACATTTCAACACACTTCAGCAATAAAAAAAGACACACAAATGTTTGTCTAGAGTTATTTGTGCTTATTAGTACGGCTGAACTGGATCATCGAAGGTCAGAAGCAAAGACATTGGTTAATAGAATGGGATTAAATACATAAAGGATATTTGTG